CCACACATTGGCCACGGGGCAGGCCCGCGACGCGGGCCTGCCCGTCGCCCTCAGCGCTCCTCCAGCCTCACCCCCGTCACCATTGCTTAGTGTGTGCGTCACGCCTGGCCTGCGAGTGGAAGTCCGCCGCGCGCGGCCGTTTCCCGCCCCTCCCCATTAATCGTCCCCCGGCGTGGTGGGCGGCGCACGACGCCTCGGCTCTTCATAAACATAACCTCCCGCGTTACCCTTTGCCGTAGCGCCCATAAATCGCTTGAACGCGAACTCCACAAGCCAGAATCTATCGGAAAACGCCCCGCGAGTGACTCGGCAGGTAAGCGAAGCGTGGTGTTGGCCCGCGCCGCCCGGGTTTGGCGCCCCTCCGCCGCAATTCCTGGGCTCCGCCCCGTTTTAACGCCACAAATATTCCGCGAAATTACCCTAACCGCCCACTAATCTCTGGCTCAGGATGGCGAAGCTTATGAAGCCCGGTCGCATCGTGATCGTGCTCGCCGGCCGTCGTGCGGGCCGCAAGGGCATCATCGTCCACTGCAACGAGAGCCCCAGCAAGCGCAGGCCCTACGCCAACTGCCTGGTGGCTGGTGTCGACAAGCACCCGCTCAAGGTCTCCAAGAAGATGAGCAAGGAGAAGATCCAGAAGCGCCTGCGCATCAAGCCCTTCGTGAAGTACATCAACGTCAACCACCTGATGCCCACCCGCTACACCGTCACCGGCCGCATCGACCCCAAGACCCTGGTCACTGACGAGCAGATGGAGAGTCATGCCACTCGCAAGGAGGCGCGCAAGGCCCTGAAGGCGGTGCTGGAGGAGGCCCTCAACAACCCCGACCCGACCGACGGCAAGGTTTCCAAGGACACCAAGTTCCTCAGGAAGAAGCTGCGATTCTAAACTCGCTCTAATTATACTCTCGTCTGCCTGTGTTCCCGGGCGTGCTCGCCCGCACCTACTCGCCGCCAGCGCGGCCTGCAACGACACGACATACATACACAACCTCAGTTTTAGGTCACAAATCAGTTCCACCCCGCACGGACAAAGGCAAAGCGCAGCTCTCGCTGAGCTTTGCCTACTCCCGTGCGGCACTCCGGGGCAATGTGAGTTGGCCCAATTCCCCTCCATCCGGCCATCCGCCGTCTAAAAAATCACCGTGTGGGACGGCTGCTGGGCCTCTTCCTCGCTCTCCGCAGACTCGGGCGCCGACCCCGCCTCCTGGGACTTTTCGGCGTTCTCCCGGATGATCTCCTTGAGGAAATGGTAGAAGCCCTTACTCGCATTCACGTCCTTGAAACGCAGCAGGATGGCCTTCTTCGTGCTCGTGAGACGAAACGCGACGATGTGCGGGTCCATGATCAGGGGCTGGTCCGCGCTGCTCAGCCCCGCCACGCTGTTGGCGCCGAGGATCTCCTCCACGTCGCCCAGCGCGATGACGCGCCGCTTCTCGTCGACCACCAGGTGCAGACAGTCCTCCGCGAGGTCGTAGACAACCGAGCACGGCATCGAGTTGCCGTCGGCGAAGACGATCTCCGTCTCGCAGCCGTTGACCACGGTGTTCATGAAGGTCGCCTCCTCCTCCGGCTTGAGCGGCGCGTCGCGCGCGGACATGAGCGACGCGCCGTTAGGCCCGTAGCAGCAGGCGGTGCTCGGCTGGTTTCCCATGGCCGCGAACGTCTCACTCCGACCGGTCCCGCGCGCGTCCTCTGGCCGCCCAGTCCGACGGCGGCCTCGTCAAGCTACTACGCACCGGTGTGTGCTCAGACTGCGATTATTCAAACGTGACGCTCGCGTCAGATAAGGTCCGTGGAGCCGCGGGCCTGGGGCTGGAAGGCTCCCGAGTCCAGCGCGGCGAAGAGGTCCTCCTCGGTGGAGGCCGCGCGGCTCTTCGAGGGACCCACCGTGAGCTTGTCGAAGTTGAACAGATCGTCGACGGCGTCTGCCTGGCTCGCCTTGTTTGCCTGGGCCGCCTGCGGCGTGCGCACACTGCTGATGGGCGTGAAGCTGTCCATGATGTCGAAGGCGGCGTTCGTGAAGTCGCTGGGCACGCTGCGCAGCGGCTCGGCGGCCTTGCCGCCCTCCTCCTTCGCAGCCGGCCCGCCGAACAAGTCCAGCGGCACCGCCGTTTCCCCGGCCGAGGTGGCTTGGCTCGTCACATGCGCCGAACTGCCGAAGCTGATCAGCTTCGTGACCCCCGCCGAAGCGCTCTCGGCGTTCCCCAGCAGCTGGATGAGTCTCTCCGCCTTGTTTTTGAGCTGGCCTTCCTCCCGGCACTTGCCCAGAATCGGCTCCAACTCCGCCGTCAGGTGGCTGACCACGTCCTGGCCCATGCTCGCCCGCAGCAGCAAGGCCTCGAAGACGCACAGTATCCTGAGCTGCAGCTGCCACTTGTTGGCCCTGTTGTTGACGCTCCGCAGCAGCTCGTCCACCACGTAGCGCACGTTGAGGTCCTTCAGCCGCGCCAAGAAGTCGTCGAGTATCTGCTGCGAGGGCGTCACCTTGACCCCGCTGAACGTCAGCACGTCCTTCACCAGCTTCACCTCCGCCTCGCCCGATATGTCGTCCGCCGCGCTGCGTTGCACGGTGGTGTCCGGGATAAGCGTCGGCAGCAGCGTGCGTTCTGGGACGACCGCCTGCCCAAAGGCCTGCTGCCCCCGCGCCTGGTGATCCGCCGCAAACCCACCAACGTAGGCGCTTTGCACCCCGGTCTGGTGCATACCCGGCATCGGGGCCACTCGCTGCGCGTACTGTTCCGGCGTGGTCGACGAAAACGCGGAGCCCACGCGCCCTATTTTGTCCATGACCACGTTCGGCAGGTACTTGGCCACGTCGGTGATCAACTTGAACGCGCCGCTGCCCGACGACTTAATCGACGAGGTTTGTGGAACGCCGCTGCCGAAGCCGCCCATATTGCCCACGCCAGTGGCGCTACTGTACCCGCTGTTCCCGAACCCCGCGCTGCTACTCCCCGGCGAGTTCCCGAACCCCGTACTCCCGAATCCCCCACTGCCATACCCCTTGGTGCCACTCGCCACGGCGTTTCCAAAGGCGGTGTTCCCGAAACCCGTGCCACTACTCGACGGCTTGCTACCGAACCCCGTATTCCCGAATCCACCACTGCCGACCGTCGTGTTTCCAAACCCGGTGGCGACCCCGCTCGGCCCGTGGTACCCCGACGGTGTTGCACCTCCCATCTTCGCGAAGCCGTTCGTCGCCGATTGCTGTGCCGCTGGCATGTTCCCGAATCCCACCATCGGGTTCTGCCCGCCCACACTCGGCGGCGCGCCTGCCGCCGCCGTCCCCTGCTGCCCGTACACCGCCTTGAGCAGGTCCTCCACCTCATTTCGCACCATGTGACAGAGGTAGTCCCCGTTATACTCGCTGTGCGGCGCCTTGTAGTTGCGCGCCTCCATCACCGCGTGGTTCTGGCAGACCTTGTTCCGGTTGAACTCGTGCGGCAGTCTGACGCAGAGGTTCTTGAGCAGCTTCAGGCACTTGAACTTGATATACGGCTCGTTTCGCACCAGCTTGTGCAGCAGGTAGTCCTCCACTGTTGGCAGAATCGCCGGGTCCTTCATGACCATGTCCGTGATGTCCTTGTACACGTAGCCCGGCGTCGGCTCCGAGGTTGCCGAGGTTGCTCTGCTCAGCAGGCTGCGCTGCGCCGAGCTCAGCGACTCTTGCTGCGCCATGTTGCCCTGTTTGCTGCACTTCCGGCCGAACTCGGTCTGGGCACTCGCACTGTTCTCTCCAGATCGTCGGTGTCTACTACACACTCTGTCGTTACCCGGCCAGCACCCGCCGTGTTCCCGCTTGCCTTGCAAGTCAATGCCGTTCCTACGTGTGCTGTCTCAGGGCGCGCTGGCGTTATGACAAGCAGTGACTCTTGCGTATGTGTGCCGGGTGTGTGTGCGGGTTAGGCTGCTTGCGTCGCGCCACCGTCAGGTGCTGTGACCGTAGACACTACACTCCAATACAGCTTTTCTACAACTTATCCTCGTGAGTTATCGTTCGTTGTGCGTAATCTCTGAAGTCTCTGCGGTACAGTCTTCGATCGTGTAACTCCAGATCCTCGGCTGCCACCTCGTTCAACGCTGATGGCTCTTCGACTCTATGCGGCAGCGACCATCTCCATTCGCCTCTCACCGATCCGACTGGACTAACGTTTTCGCGTAGCAGTCTGGCAGCGGCCGCGTTGCGGCCGCCTGCTTCCGCCCCTCCTACTGTGTAGAGGTCAGCCAGCACCTTCGCCTTGAATGGTCTCAGCTGCGCGGCGTAAGCTTTAGGTACGGAGGCGTGCCACCTACCTTGAAGTCGACGCGTTTGATCAGATAACAGACGTTGTTTCTGGCAGTCTTGTCCGTTATGTAGTATCGACCGTTAACCTTAGTAATCCGTTGGGCTTCTGCTGGTTCAAGCAGGTTCTTTTCATAACTCACATCCTCACCCTGCGGGCCACTCGTGCCCTCGTCAGGGTCACTTGCAACGCCCGTGCTACGCCTTTCACGTTTCCAGAACAGACAGTTAACCCCGTGAAGCGGCAGGGGATGCAACGCCTCGAACAGCGTCCGAACCTTGCGGTCGCGCCTCGCGAACTCGGAGAAGAGTTCCACTCCGATGTCTTCCGGCTTCGGAAATCGTTTTTGGTGGGAGTGCCACGGGTACTTATCTATGCTCGGCCAGTAATACTCTGGGCGCTGTGATCCTTCATCCATTGCACATACCTGGCGTTCTGGGGTTTCGCGCCCTGTATACTGGTTTGTACTGCCTGTAGTACGGGTAGAGTATGTTTTTCAGCGGCCTCGGCTGCAGTCGGTGTGTACCTATTGCGCTGTGATAGTATATAGTCTTCGCCACTGCTGCGCCGCCTCCACTGCGCCGAGACGCCATAGTGCGCCGGAGCGTCGATTTGATAATGTTTGCCGTGACGGTCAGGCGGAGCCGGTGGGATTCCTGCTTCTGCGATGTCGTACTACACGGATAATATTCCTTAAAATCAAGTGTTTCACCGAGGGCTTGTGGTGTAGTGGTATCACGTTCGCTTCGCATGCGAAAGATCTCGGGTTCGATTCCCGATGAGTCCACATTTTTAATTTAAGATGGGATCATATATTACAATTTCAGGTCGCTGTTATTAAAATGCCAGCGGCACACCTCACCCACTTCCGTTAAGTGGTTCGTGCATCATACCTTCTCCTGCATGGTCCCACACCGAAAACTTTCTCTACTCTCTGTTGAACGCTGCCTTCTCGATTTCAACGTCGTATTCGTCTCACGTTTACGTATTTTAAACAAGTATTAGACTTATTTATATCGCGGTTCTTGGGGTCAGGTTTGCGATACGCCAGCAAATCCACTGCCATTATTTTTATGACGCAATCAGTGAAACAGTCACGGCACCACCGACAAGCACAAGAAACAAGACGAATCACCACTTTCAACACCGTCTAGTGCCTTACAAAGTCCCTGCCCTAGCTATTAGAAATATCGGTCAGGATATACGCCCACCGGGCACCTCACGGCTGAAGCGAAAAATGGAAAGCCCTTTTGCCACAGCAATGCATAGGAGCATTCAGAATGTTGACAATATTTAGTACGTGTGCTGCCATCATCGTACCACAAGCGTTGACTTCATTTGCAACAGCTGTTTCGGCCCGCCGGACTTCAACTGTCGATAGAGGCCACAATCGACGCAAAAGATATGCAGTCCGGCTCGAGGGGCACGAGCATTCCCTGCACGATCCCCTCCACGCGCTGCGTTCGATGAATGCCGCAGTCCACCGCCCAAGCCCACCTTCAGTATGTCACTTTGCTCGGCAGCCCCGTGGTTTACGGGGAAGTCCAACATGCCGTCCTGTCGCTCTCTGTCTGTCACGCACAGACAACGTACCAGCTCGTACAGGTCACCGTCCACGATGACGAACGTGATGTAGTGACACTCGTCCTGCTCCAAATCACATAGCCCCGTGTGCATCGCTCACCCCCAAGTCGTTCGTGGGAACCCTCGACTGCCCCTGCGACTCAAAGATGGAGTGGAGCTCCTTGATTTGGTTGGCCTTCTCGATGAACTGAACGCTGTGCCATGCCAGAAACGACTTCTCACCGTCCCCCTCTCCAACGGCGACGCTTTGAGGGTCTTTTTCCTCATATCATCCAGGATGGACCCCCTGTCAACCGCGGACATATCTTTGATGTTGTTCAGCAGGTGCAGCAACGCCAGTGTCCCGCATGTGTTGCGAATGTTCTGCTACCTTTTGAACTACTCCCTCCCTTTGCCAACCTGGCTGGCGAACCACACGTTCGGCGAGACGTTTCTTTGCTTGGTATAGATTGGGTGCGATTTTCGGTGCGACATAATCTACAAATCACTCTATCACCTGGCTGCATGTACCCCTACGTTTGGGGTGCACGGAATCGTCACTATGACTCCTGCGACTGGCTTCTTCAGCTGCACAGCAATGACCGATGACAATACGGACCACAGGCAATGCACACGCACACGAATACGCATGTTCATCCACATCTAACCACAACACTCCAAGCGCCCGTACCGGACTAGACATCCATGCCATATCCACCTGTTGGACTGTCTGCTGGCATTCACACCGAGCACGCTTGTCCTGTGTGCCGCCTACAGCAACAGAAATCCCCAAGCTAAGGACGGGATTTCCCCAAACTACAGACTAACAGTTCATACAACCCCATCAACACCATTTAATGCTATCACACATGTCGGTATAATGCCACAACTGTCACTCAAGGGTTGCAAAGAAAAGACTTCCCGGACTCTTTACCTGGTCATACGCCCAGTCTTCCCACGCTAACAGGTCTTGAAATACAAGGTTGCGTTGCCCTAATTTTTCTGCGTACTTGAGAAACACCTCCGGGCACGCCTCCAGCGGCGCAAAGTACAGTGTCATCTTGTAAAATGCCGATCTGTGTAAAATTTTCGGAATACTATTTTATACTAATCGTGCGCAACACTTGCCCCGGTAAACGTTTTAGTTTAGACTGCTTGCTATACTACGTGAAATGTGTTGTTTGTGCCTGCGTGCGTAGTCCCTTTACTCGCCCTCCAAATGAGACACGAGATGAATTGTCACACTTCACCTTTACCGGAAACGCACACATCAAAAATTCCAACAGTAACATTTGTGTACAAAAACTCTCGAGCATTAAACCGCATGGGAGGCGTGCTTCAAAAATTGTGACCATATGAAGAAATGCGTTGACACAAGACTCTCAGTGTCGCCTGGTCTCACATAATGCCATCATTATACCGCAGCGTATAAAACGAAATCACTTAACAAACGTGAGTGGAATCCCTTGTTGAGGTCGTTTTTCGCCTGTCGAAGATTCGACCTTTACCCATACATATACGTAGCGGCTACATGCCATTTCAACAACACACCGCACACCACCACGACGCACCGAGGAAAATACATAGAACCGCGTAAGAACGCTTGAACTTTTGCTAGACTCCGCGCCGCTGGGTTGTGCGACTCGGCCCCTCCCCATAGCAGGGGACTCTGCTACACCCCCTGGTTTACGCCGTCCAGCGGCACTCCTAACCTATATATTATCGTATGCCTTAGCTTAGGGTTTCTGTCTGTAATACTCAGGTAAGTCAAAGGGACCGTTTGTGCCGTAGTCGGGGCGACTTCCTCGGGACCGGTCGCGTCGTGGACGTGCTCTGGCGCTTCCCTGCCTTTTTGCCCAATATTCGCGTGTTGCTAATGCGTTTTTATTTTCTTTTTGCTAAAAGCATCTCAGATCATCGGTAAAAATGGCGAAGTCTAAGAACCACACGAATCACAACCAGGTTCGTCGTCGACTGTCGGACTCTCTTATGCTCGCAGATCAAGAAGGCCCACCGTAACGGCATCAAGAAGGTGAAGATCCCTAAGAAGATCTCGACTAAGGGGGTAAGTTACGTTGGTCTTTAGGGTCGATGTGTTTTCTTTGCTTCCCCGCGCTGTCATCACTGACCCTGCCATATCGGTCACGTCCACGTTTTTTACCTACATTAAAGAACCTTTTCGCTTAACATGGCGGTTGTTTTATGTGTTACAGATGTGCCCCAAGTTCTTGCGCAACCAGAAGTTCTGCAAGAAGCACCTTTACAAGCCCGCTACCGAGGCCTCTAGCTGAACGCACCAGCTGCCAGCGCGGGCGCTGCGTTTCGAGGAGCTAGCACCAACATGTTGCAACATGGTTAGCACCTAACTTTGGCACCTTTGTGGTGCGCTTCTAATGTCCTTGGTTGGCAAACTTTTATGCTACCCTCATTGTGATATCTTATGGATGTATGATTTAGTCTTACTTTTCAGTGATGACCATCATAATGGGCATCCATCATTTGTTTACCCATCATTGGTGTATCCATAACTTTAGTGTACAATTGTTGAGCGCATAAAGCACATGTAGCTGTTGCCCTTCCCCAACATGGAGGGATCTTGCTGGGTAATGCATCACGCACCCGAACATGGCACACTCAATCAACGTCATGTACACCGACTTGCAGATGGCTGTGCAACGTCTGAGTTCAATAAACAACTTAATAGAAAGTGGACCGATCGGGATTCGAACCCGAGACCTTCCGCATGCAAAGCGGACGCGATACCCCTTCGCCATCGGCCCCGACTCGAGAGGCCGCATTTTTAATATCAGGACAGGCTGACTACCATATCACTTCAAAATCAATAGCGGGCTCAAACCGCTTCCTATCGCCGTCTCACTACTATCGCAACACAAAGCTATGGCGGATGCCCGCGTTACGTTTCCTGGCGATGTCGTGAGCGACCAGGCGTCCTCGCTCCTCCAGGGTCGCGGCACCTACGTCGACGGTGATGTCCTGAAAGCAAGCTACCTCGGCACTTTCAAGCGGGTAAGAAATACATATGCAATGTATAAGGTTGTATATATGGTGGTGTGTGACGTCTGTTTGACCCCTGACTGGTTTGAGGGCCAATAGGCGCTGTTTCGACCTCCCGGGATTCTACCACCTTGGTTACCTCAAGAACCATTCAGCGTTACCATTACCCACTTCCACATGCAACTAAGCGACTGTATTACGTTGTTGATGTATTTACGGGGGTGCCACACCCCTGTCTACTTAGGTGGCTCTTGCTTGACTTCTTACGCATCTTTCTACCTCCTCGAACTCTATACATTTTTACCAGTTCATCTGCGCCACTACTCGGTCCAAACTATTAGTTGTCAACGCTTCGAATGTCTTGTTTACCCTGGTGGCTGGCTAACCTCTAACCGCAGGTCAACCAACTGGCGTACGTCGACCCACTGCATGGGAAGTACTTGGCGCAAGTCGGCGACGTGGTGGTCGGAGTCGTCCAGAAGATCGGCGGAAACTGCTGGTACATCGACATAGGCTCGTCGATGCGCGTGCAGCTCTCCATCTTGCAGGTCAACACCGAGGAGCTCGCCAACCGCCGCAAACTGGATGAGGACGTCTACGAAATGCGCAACATCTTCGACATCGGCGACGTAATCTCGTGCGAAGTCCAACGTGTGTCGGTGTGTTACCCCCTGCTAGCGTGTAACCTTCCCGCAGTCCAACGGCACCGTCCTGCTCCAGACCCGCACAAGCACGTACGGCCGCCTGACCGGTGGACTGCTCGTCAAAGTGAAACCCAACCTGCTGCTGCGCCAGAGCAAGCACATGCACGAACTCAAGTGCGGCGTGCTGCTTATTTTGGGGTGCAACGGTTCGTTCCCTTCGCCGTTGTCCTCACCACCTCCCAGGCTTCATCTGGCTCGCCCCGTTGAGAGACCGCGGCAACGCCGTCACCCAATCCCCCGTCTACCACGACATCTGCACCATTCGCCGCATCATCCTCTGCCTGTCGGGGGCGGGCATACAGATAAGCTTCGGGTTGCTGTCCGACATCTTCGAGTACTTCAAGCGGCGCTGCCCGAGCGCGGCCAGCCTCTCCACGGAGCACGCACCCCAGCTCATCGAGTCGTTCCTCGCCGAGAAGACCTCCTAGGACACCTCGCACAACATCGCAACGGCTAATACAATGCCCAATATTAATGTCAGTTCCACATGTGCCTCACCGAACAC